GTGACTCCCACTCACTCCTCCGCCATCTTTCCCTATATTTAATTTCTTTCTAATCAGAAAACATATATTTTAGTTTTTAAATTTATTAAGTGTATTGACGTGTGTTTATTGCTTAAAATATTGCATGTACAAAATTATTACATGGATTTAATTTAAAAAGTGTATTGTGCATCATTAGGTGACAAAGTTTATAGATGACAGGTAAACCTTGCTCATATTGCACATTTCATCTACATTCTTGACTTCTTTATTTATATATATTTTCAAGCTTTTTTTTTGCAAAATATTTTATTTTATTTTATTTTTTTACACTTTTTAAAAAAATTTATTTTAATTTATTTTTTCAAATACATTTGTCTCTACCTACTCCCCACCACTTTTCCTTGCCCCCTCCCTCCTTCCCTCCCTCAGCTCTTCCCCTTTGGTTTTGTCCACGAGTCCTTGCTATATGTTCCTTGACTTTCCCCTTCCCTTCCTTTTCCCCTCCCCCCTCCCTCCTTCCCTCTTGTCTCTGTTGATTTCTTTTCCTTTCAGTGTTGCTGGTCTTATTTTCCTTGCATCTTTGTATTGTTGGTTAGGTTCCGCTTATAGGTGAGATCATATGGTATTTGTCTTTCTCCCCCTGGCTTATTTCGCTTAGCATAATGCTTTCAAGTTCCATCCATGCTGTCGCCAAGTTTAGTAGTTCTTTTTTTCTTTCTTCTGCATAGTATTCCATTATGTATATGTACCATAATTTTTTGATCCAATCATCTACTGATGGGCATTTCGGTTGCTTCCAACACTTGGCTATTGTAAATTGTGCTGCTATGAACATTAGGGTACATAGGTTCTTTTGAATTGGCGTTTTGGTGTTCTTAAGGTATAGTCCCAGCAGGGGAATCACTGGATCCAAAGGCAGTTCCATTTTCAGCTTTTTGAGAAAATTCCACACTGCCTTCCACAGTGGCTGCACCAGTCTGCATTCCCACCAACAATGTACTAAGGTTCCCTTTTCTCCACAGCCTCGCCAGCACCTGTTGTTTGTTGATCTGTTTATGATGGCCATTCTGACTGGTGTGAGGTGGTACCTCATGGTGGTTTTGATCTGCATTTCTCTGATGGCTAGTGATGCTGAGCATCCTTTGAAACTTTTTAATTGTATTTTTCCATTATGATTTATCCCCTTTACATATTTATATTTTTTATTTTTTTCTTCTTGTTCTTAAGTCATTTAACATTTATTGTAATACCATTTGGTGCTGATTAACTCCTTCATCTTTTTCTTCTCTGAGAAGCTATTTAGGTCTCATTGAATTCTAAACAATAGCCTAGTAATCTAGGTTGTAGGTCATTGTTTCTCATCACTTTCAATATTTCATGCCAGTCCCTTGTTGCCTGCAAAATTTTCATTGAGAGATGAGTTGATAGTCTTATGGGAGACCCCTTAGGGATAACTAAGTGGTTTTCTCTCGCTGCTTTTCAGATTGTCTCTTTGTATTCATTTCTCACTGGAGTTTTCAATGCTCTCTTTTTTTAAAAAAAAAATTTATTTATTTTTAGAGAGAGGGGAAGGGAAGAAGAAAGAGCGAGTTCAATGTGTGGTTTCCTCTTATGTGCGCCTTACTGGGGACCTGGCCCACAACCCAGGCATGTACCCTGACTGGGAATCGAACCAGAAACCCTTTGGTTCACAGGCCGGCACTCAATCCACTGAGCTAAACCAGCCAAGGCTCTCTCCTCTTTTATGTTTCCTAGATCATTGCTGAAGTTCTCACTAAGATCATCTATTCTTCCCCTAAGTTCAGTGAGCATCCTTATAATAAGTGTTTAGAATTCTTCATCTGGTAGATTGCTTGCCTCAATTTTGTTTAGTTATTTTTCTGAAGTTTTGTCTTTTTATTTGGGACATGTTTCTTTGTGTCATCATTTTGGCCGCCTCCCCATGGTTATTTCTATGTATTATGTATGTCTGCCAAGTCTCCTCATCTTGGCAGAATGGTCTTATGTAGTAAGTGTCCTTTGAAGTGTACCCGTTCATCTGATCTGGGTGCCAGGGGTGTTGCTTGTGTGGGTTGTGTGTCTCTTCTGTTGCAGCTGAGCTTGATTACTGTTGGCACATCTGTGGGTGGGATTGACACTCAGGCTGAGTGGTTGTGAGGAATGGCATTGGTTACAGTGAACAAGCTGTTGTAAGGGGGCTAACTCAATGGAGTAGGATTCATGGCAGGGGGCTCCAGTGCCTGCTGAATCTCCCCTTTTGGGTGTGTCATTTGTGGTGCTAGTTGGGTGGTGCTCTGGTGTTATCAGAAGCCGGCCACCAAGTTTTTGGGTTTGGGGCCTTGCGGGGGGTGGGGGGGTCTCTGGTGTAGGCCAAGGTCAGCCACTGCCTGTGTGTGGCCCAATGCCACCTGGTATAGACTACAAGGAGATGTGCGGTTGGTGTTTGCCTGTTCTGGACTTGGAGGTGCCTTGAAGCTGTTCTGTGGTTAACGAAGGCCAGCTGCCACTGCTGCTTGCCTGCAGCTTCTTAGCAAGAATTAAAGGGCATCTGAAGTCAGCAACTTCTTGTCTAGAGTTTGTGGATCTTTAAGAAATTTTAGGAAAGTCGGTGTGTTGGCTGGCAAGTGTGTCTGTGTTTCTGAAAAAGATTTGACCAGAAGCTTTAATTATTTTGTGTTTGGTGGGGTCTCAGAGAAACACTCGAATGGAATAAGAGCGCTATTATCCAGGTTAATGAAGACTCAGATTTGGCACTGACCTGGGCCTGCAGTCTGTGTAGGGGCAAGGCTCACAGGAGAAAAATGGCACCTGTTGGTACTTTAGTCCCTGGGAGAGCTTTCCCTCCAGCCCTCAACCTGAAACCAGACAATTCAGTTTCTTTCTGTATGTTCCTGACCCTTGCAAGCTCCTGTCCATACTCTGAAGCTTAGGACAAGTTTTTGTGAGGGAGTCACTCTGTGTTAGGGCATCTCCACCTCACGTGGACTGAGACCCTGGTGATTTTCACAGCCAGATATTGTGGGAACTCCTCTTGATACTTCTATCTGAGCTTGCTTTAAGGCTGGGATTACTTGTTCCTCAGTAGGACCTCTGTAGCCAAGATATTTCTCCCATTTCTCAACATGTGGGTGGGGTACCTGCCAGTTTAGTCTCTGCCCCTCCTACCACTCTTGAGGTGGCTCCTTGTATATTCTTAGTTATAGGAATTCTGTTCAGCTTATCTTTGTGTGATTGTGGGAGGAGATGAGCACAGCATTTACCTACTGCGCCATTTTAATGGGAATTCTATCTTTTTACTTTTGCCATACTTGTGTCTTCGAACCCAAAACATGTCTGTTGTAGATATCAATAATTGAAATTGCTATTTATCTATTCTAACAATCTCTGCTTTTTGATTGGTGGATTAAAACAATAAAATTTAATGTAATTGTTGATGAAGCTCTATTTAATTTATATTGTATTATTTGTTTCTATATGTTGCCTGAAATTTTCTTTGTTCTCTTTTTCATTGACAGACTTCTTCTGAATTAAAGAGATATTTTTAGTATAAAATTTTAAGTTTACTATTTTCTATTTTTGTGGTGTTTGCTTTCCTAATAACAACAGGCATCTCATGACCGCTTCAGATTAATACTAAATTACAGTAAAATATGGATACTTGCCTCCAATATTGTTTTATATTCTTCCAGCAACAACACAGTGATGGTTTAATATGGCAATTGATCCAATGCAAGCCAGTGCCATACAGGCCTCAGTTATTTGATGTAACTGGGGAGATAAATTCTATTTTTTTTTCAGGAATTTATGTGAGGAGATTAATATTTTCTTCATGAACTGAGGATAAAGTCAAAATAGAGGGCATAAATAGAATTTGGAGAATGACATAGACCAGATCCTGATGACAATGTCCAAGCTTCAAAATTAAGCTTTGATAAAAGTCACAATGGTCCCCCAAATTCCTTTTCTTTGCTTCATCCACTTTTAATTGTTTTTGTTATATGCAGCAATAAAGCCCTAACACAGAAAGCGTGTAATCGTGTGTGTGTGTATATGTGTGTGTGTGTGTGTACCCAGAAGTTGGCCTACTTTTTGGTGTCATGGAAAGAAGTAGCCTGAGATACAGAGACCATATACATTAGAACATATGTGTTAAAAGAAATAAATATGTGATGGTAAATATGTTCAGATGACTAAAAACTATTAACAATGTGGACTAAACTGGCTTGGTAGAGGGTGAAATACAGGTAAACATTGTAGTGTTGAGGCCAGTGACTGAATAGATATGGGTAACACGGACAAAGGGGTATAGGGGAGGAGACAACCTGGTTGGTGAAAGGTAAAGTACATATGAGACATCCTAAGTTACTGGTTCCTGTGACTTCTTTATTAGAGAATATATTAACCTGTATTTAAGAGACAAAACTGAGTAAAAATAAAGGCTTAGAAATCAATTGCACATGTATGTGTTTAATTTAGGGAGTGAATGAGGCCAATTCTAGATATTGTATAAAATGAGGAGAGACTTGAGACAGGCCTACTTTAATATATTGTTTTGCTAGTACCCTCAGCAGAAGTCAAGTTCTTGAGGAATTCTATAACTACTCATCTTTATTTCTCCCAATTATGGCATAATGTTTGACAAGTAATAGTACATCACTTACATTCATGTTGAATAAATGAACAAGCCATGAATTATTCAAACCATCTTAGGAGGAGCCTTGTGAACATGGGGAAAATAACATGTACATCATGCTTTCCTCCCACGTATGTCTTATCACCAGGTACTGGAAGATCATTTTGTGCTTCCACAAGGGTCAAAATTCTTTTTATATTGCAGGAAACCTGACAACTTTAACTGAGCCTTCTGGAATAATTGACCTGGGTCTTTTCTTTAATTTTGGCTCTCACATAGGGACCATCTCTTCCCACCATATCACAGGGTGGTGGGGATGAGATGAAGCTTTGTAAGTGAGGCAGGCTTATTGTTTATTGACTCATGTTTTCTCTTTTCTCTTTAGGATGTGAATGGCGTCATGAAAAGGTATGTGTGGGAGACCAGAGATGAACTTTTGTGCTGTCAAATAAGGTTTAAAGCCATTAAAGTTATTTAATTTTTTAAAATTATATTTTATTGATTATGCTATTACAGTTGTCCCATTTTTTTTCCCTTTTATCCTCCTCTACCCTCCACCTCCATCCCTCCAGTATCCCTCCCCCTCTTAGTTCATGTCCATGGGTTGTACACAAAAGTTCTTTGGCTTCTCCATTTCCTATGCTATTCTAAACTTCCCCCTGTCTATTTTGTGCCTACCAATTATGCTTCTTAATCCCTGTATCTTCCCCCGCCTTCTCCCACCTCACCCTCCCTGCTGATAGCTCTCCATGTGATCTCCATTTGTGTGATTCTGTTCCTGTTCTAGCTGTTTGCTTAGTTTGTTTTTTGTTGGAGAGGTGTTCAGTTGTTGATACTTGTGAGTTTGTTGTCATTTTACTGTTCAAAGTTTTTATCTTTTTCTTTTTCTTAGATAAGTCCCTTTAACATTTCATGTAATAAAGGCTCAGTGATGATGAACTCCTTTAACTTTATCTAGGAAGCACTTTATCTGCCCTTTCATTCTAAATGGTACCTTTGCTTGGTAGAGTAATCTAGGTCATAGGTCCTTGCTTTGCATTACTTTGAATACTTCTTTCTAGCCCCTTCTTGTCTGAAGGTTTCTTTGGGGAAATCAGCTGATAGTCTTATGGGAACTCCTTTGTAGGTAGCTCTCTCCTTTGCTCTTGCTGCTTTTAACATTCTCTCCTTATCTTTAATCTTGGGTAATTTAATTATTTTGTGTTTTGGCATGTTTCTCCTTGGATCCAACTTCTTTGGGATTCCCTGTGTTTTCCTGGACTTGCATGTCTAGTGCCCTCGCCAGATCGGTGAACTTCTCCTTCATTATTTTTTCAAATAAGTTTTCAATTTATTGCTCTTCCTCTTCTCTTTCTGGCACCCCTATGGTTTGGATGTTGGAATGTTTAAAGTTGTCACAAAGGTTCCTAAGCTTCTCATTTTTTTGAATTCTTGTTTCTTCATTCTGTTCCAGTTGAAGGTTTATTTCTTTCTTTATTTATTTTTAATTAATTTATTTACTTTTTAAATACATTTGTCTTTGCCTTCCCCCCCCTCTTTCCCTTGCCCACTCCCACCTTCCCTCCCTCAGCTCTTCCCCTTTGGTTTTGTCCATGAGTCCTTGCTATATGTTCCTTGACTTTCCCCTTCCCTTCCCTTTCCCTGCCCTCCTCTTCCCTCTTGTCTCTGTTGATTTCTTTTCCTTTCAGTGTTGCTGGTCATATTTGCCTTGCTTCTTTGCATTGTTGGTTAGGTTCCGCTTATAGATGAGATCATATGGTATTTGTCTTTCGCCCCCTGGCTTATATCGCTTAGCATGATGCTCTCCAGTTCCATCCATGCTGTCGCGAAGTTTAGTACTTCTTTTTTTCTTTCTGCTGCGTAGTATTCCACTGTGTATATGTACCATAATTTTTTGATCCAATCATCTACTGATGGGCATTTAGGTTGCTTCCAACACTTGGCTATTGTAAATTGTGCTGCTATGAACATTGGGGTGCATAGGTTCTTTTGTATTGGCGTTTTGGTGTTCTCAGGGTATAGTCCCAGCAGGGGAATCGCTGGATCAAAAGGCAGTTCCATTTTCAGCTTTCTGAGGAAATTCCACACTGCTTTCCATAGTGGCTGCACCAGTCTGCATTCCCACCAACAGTGGACTAGAGTTCCCTTTTCTCCACAGCCTCGCCAGCACCTGTTGTTTGTGGATCTGTTTATGATGGCCATTCTGACCGGTGTGAGGTGGTACCTCATGGTGGTTTTGATCTGCATTTCTCTGATGGCTAGTGATGCAGAGCATCCTTTCAAATGCCTCTGGGCCCTCTGTATCTCCTCCTTAGAAAAGCATCTGCCCAGGTCCTTTGCCCATTTTTTGATTGGATCGTTTGTCTTCTTGGAGTAAAGTCGAGTGAGTTCTTTGTATATCTTGGAGATCAAACCTCTATCTGATGTATCATTAGCAAATATATTTTCCCAAATGGTTGGCTCCCTTTTCATTTTGCTGATGTTTTCTTTAGCCGTGCAGAAGCTTCTTATTTTGATGAGGTCCCACTTGTTTATTCTTTCCTTTATGTCCCTTGCTTTAGGAGACATATCAGTGAAAAAATTGCTGCGTGGGATATCTGAGAGTTTCCTGCCAATGTTCTCCTCTAGGACTTTGATGGTGTTGCGACTTATATTTAAGTCTTTTATCCATCTTGAGTTTATTTTTGTGTATGGTGTCAGCTGATGATCCAATTTCAATTGTTTGCATGTAGCCATCCAGCTCTCCCAACACCATTTGTTGAAGAGGCTGTTATTGCTCCATTTTATGCTTCTGCCCCCTTTGTCGAATATTAGATGTCCACAGAGACCTGGGCTTATTTCTGGGCTTTCTATTCTGTTCCACTGGTCTATGGGTCTGTTCTTGTGCCAGTACCAGATTGTTTTCAGTATAGTGGCTTTGTAGTAGAGTTTGATGTCCGGTATTGTGATCCCTCCTACTTTGTGTTTCTTTCTCAAAATTGCTGCGGCTATTCGAGGTCGTTTATGGTTCCATATAAATTTTTGAAATGTCTGTTCTATTTCTGTGAAATACGTCATTGGTATCTTAATAGGGATTGCGTTGAATCTATAAATTGCTTTTGGTAGTATGGACATTTTAAGGATATTAATTCTTCCAATCCATGTGCACGGTATATGCTTCCATTTATTTGTGTCTTCCTTAATTTCTTTTTTCAATGTTGTATAGTTTTCTGCATATAGGTCTTTTGTGTCTTTGGTTAAATTTATCCCTAGGTACTTTATCTTTTTTCGTGCTATATCGAATGGTATATTTTTTCTGATTTCTTCTTCTTCTATTGCATTGCTGGTGTACAAAAACGCCTTTGATTTCTGAATGTTGACTTTGTATCCTGCTGTTTTGCCAAATTCACTTATTAGGTTGAGGAGTTTTTTGGTAGAGTCTACAGGGTTCTCTATGTACACTATCATGTCATCTGCAAACAATGATAGTTTTACTTCCTCCTTTCCTATTTGGATGCCTTTTATCTCTTTCTCTTGTCTGACCGCTGTGGCTAGGACTTCCAATACGATGTTGAAAAGAAGCGGTGAGAGCGGACATCCTTGTCGTGTTCCCGATCTTAGTGGGAAAGCTTTTAGTTTTTGCCCGTTGAGTATGATGTTGGCTGTAGGTTTTTCATATATGGCCTTTATGAAATTGAGGAATGCCCCATTTATTCCCATTTTGCTGAGTGTTTTGATCATAAATGGGTGCTGTACCTTGTCAAATGCTTTTTCTGCATCTATCGAGATGATCATGTGGTTTTTGTCTTTTCTTTGATTCATGTGGTGTATCACGTTTACTGATTTGCGTATATTGAACCATCCCTGCATCCCTGGGATGAATCCCACTTGATCGTGATGGATAATCTTTTGAATGTATTGCTGGATGCGGTTTGCCAATATTTTGTTGAGGATTTTAGCATCTATGTTCATCAGCGAAATGGGCCTGTAGTTTTCTTTCTTTGTAGGGTCTTTATCTGGTTTTGGGATCAGGGTGATGCTGGCCTCATAGAAGGAGTCTGGCAGTCTTCCCTCCTCTTGGATTTTTTGGAATAGTCTGAGAAGGACAGAGGTTAGCTCTTCCTTAAATGTTTTGTAAAATTCTCCTGGGAAACCGTCTGGCCCTGGACTTTTGTGTGCTGGGAGTTTCTTGATTACTGCTTCAATTTCCCCAACTGTTATCGGTCTGTTCAAGCTTTCTGTTTCTTCCTCCTTCAGTGTTGGAAGATTATACTTTTCTAAAAATTTGTCCATTTCATCAAGATTTTCAAATTTCTTGGCATATAATTGTTCATAATAGTTTCTGATGATCATTTGTATTTCTGTGGTATCAGTTGTTATTTCTCCTCTTTCATTTCTGATATTATTAATTTGGGTCCTCTCCCTTTTTTTCTTGATGAGTCTGCTTAAAGGTTTGTCCACTTTATGAATCTTTTCAAAGAACCAGCTTCTGGATTGGTTGATCCTCTGAATTGTTCTTTTTGTCTCTATGTCATTCAGTTCTGCTCTAATCTTGACTATTTCCTTCCTTCTACTTGCTCTGGGATTTATTTGTTGTTGTTTCTCCAGTTCTTCAAGTTGTAGTGTTAGGTCTTTTATTTGAAATGTTTCTATCTTTTTAAGGTAAGCCTGTATTGCTATGAACTTCCCTCTCAGGACCGCCTTTGCTGTGTCCCATAGGTTTTGGACAGTTGTCTGTTCATTTTCATTTGTTTCCAGAAATTTTTTGATTTCTTCTCTTATCTCATTATTGACCCATTCATTGTTTAATAGTGTACTGTTCAGTCTCCATGAGTTTCCAAGTTTTTGAAGTTTCTCTTTGAGTTTGATTTCGAGTTTCAAGGCCTTGTGGTCTGAGAAAAAGTTTGGTATTATTTCAATTTTCCTGAATTTACTGAGGCTTGCTTTGTGTCCTATCATGTGGTCTATCTTTGAAAAACTGCCATGAGCATTTGAAAAGAATGTGTATTTTTGTTCTTTGGGATGTAAGATTCTATATATGTCAGTTAAGTCTCTTTGATTCAGTGTTTCATTCAGCGCCACGATATGTTTATTAATGTTTTGTTTGGAAGATCTGTCCATTTTGGACAGTGGGGTGTTGAAATCCCCTACTATCAGTGTGTTGCTGTCTATATCTTTTTTGAAGTCATCCAACAATTTCCTTATAAACTTGGGGGCTCCTATATTGGGAGCATATAAGTTTACAATGTTGATGTCTTCTTGATAGATTCTTCCTTTAAGTATGATAAAGTGCCCCTCTGGGTCTCTCTTTATGGCCTTTGCTTTGAAATCTACTTTGTCTGATACAAGTATGGCAACGCCAGCCTTTTTCTCATGTCCATTTGCTTGGAATATTATTTTCCATCCCTTTACTTTCAATCTGTGTAGGT